TCCTAGCCTTCATCGACTCCCTCGATGCATACAAGGCCGCGCCCCTTCCATTCACAGACGAGAAATGGGCGAAGAAACTGCCCAAGACTTATATCATCTGGGCCAAGGATGGTGTTTGCGGCAAGCCGGGAGATCCACGACCTGATCCCCCGACGGACGGTTCCAAGGATCCCAAGGAGATGGTCTGGCTTCTTAATGACCGGACCGACCTGGGACCTAACAAGTGGGACACATTGGTTGGACCTGAGAATATTGGTGGAATCACGGTAATGGAAGATGCTAATCATTTTACGATGACGAAGGGTGAAAAAGCGAAAGAATTGTCGAATTTTATGGCTAATGCCATGGCTTAAAGATTGATGAAGCTGACCATATTCTTTTTTCTGTTATTATATTGCACTTATTTTCCCTCTCGTTTTTATGGCTCGGTCATGTCGTCGATCTCATGTTTTTGATGCGCAGGGATTAAAGCACAATCATTCAATAAGTAATGTATGGTACTAATAGTACTTAATCAATCAATTATACATTTCGGAACCACGAGACACCTTCACGTAGCATAAGCAGTACTAAAACAGCCCACATATTGACTACTCGCTGGTATTGGATGCTAGGGCTGTTAGAACGGTACGAAAATTTGCAATCAAATCGAGCAATGGGGCCATAAGGATGATGTACATTGATACATAGCATCCAATTCAAATTCTAACGTAGACAACCCGAGAAGGGGCGCAGGGTCCAAACGCAACAAAATAAAGATAAAAGAAAAGAAGGGAAAAAGGGTGCAGGCATACAAAACGCCCGGACAATGCAAAGTCATTGACGAAAGAAAAGCATCAGATTCGCGCCCTTCTCTATGTAAACGTCATAGAACGCAAGAATGAAATCGATGGAGTCGCTGTAACGTTATAGAAGTTCCACTTAAATAAGTGGGGGCAATGCAAAAACAGGTAAGACCCTCTTAAACAGGCACATCGGAGCTGAACCTCAACGCGCTGCCACGTCCGTTATGACTATTGATCCCTGGGCTCGTTGGACGGCTTCCGGCGGTCAGTCTCGGACTGCGAGGTTGAGTGCTTGTCGAGCGGGTGGAGGGACGGTTCTTGCGGATTTCCCGCAGCTCATCTTCCTTTCGGCGTAATAGATCTTCACGGGATGCCAGAGTAGTTTCCAATTCAGAGATTCGAGATAGATGCCGTGCCCCGTCGTTCTCTATGTTGATCTCTCGTAGGCGACTAGCATTGCCAGCAACCTTACGCTTTAATAACTCGTTCTCTTCTCGAAGTTGGCGGACCTCGTTCCCAGCTTGAGCCGCCATGTTAGAAGCATTCTGGTACTGCTCGCGAGTGTACTCGGCTTGCTTGGCCTCGTATTCTGCCTTCCGCTCCAAGCCAGAATTTTCCTGTGTCAGGCGCCGAATATCTTCCCGAGCCGTCTCCAGCTCTGCTACCGCACCTCCTCCAGTTTTGATCTCCCCCCTGGCCTGCTCGAGATCATGCTTTAGCTGGGTACGCTCATCCTTTAGTTTGCCAATATCCTCTCTTTGTTTTTCAATTTTCTGCTCTGACGTGGCTTTATATTCGGCTAAGCGATCCCGCTCCCGGCGGATTTTATGGAGATCTTTAGTTCGAGTCTCATAGCGATGCTGGAGCGACTCGAGTAGTTTTTCTCTCTCCTGTAAGCGGGATTGCACGTCGGTTAATGCATTCTGAAACTTCTCAAGCTCAGCCGCATGTGCTGCTCTCATCTGCACAAGGTTCTTCTCCAATGCATGCAGACCGCTATCCAGGGGTTGACTTGGAAATTTCGTTGATTCGGTAAGTTGCGTGTTATCCTGTGTCGTTTCCATCCTTATTCTTTTAGAAGTATGCTCGCCCGAGTCTTCCACAAAGAGACGCTTTTGGGCTTGTGTGTTGGGGTTTGGAGTACCGACAATAGTAGTCTGGGTTTGAGCTTCAAGTTGAACAGATAACAACTCATCGGAGCTCACGATGTGCAAAGGTTCAATGGAGGTTAAAGGCCAGCTGAGGCTGAAGTGATCTGAAGAAAGCCAAGGCAGTATCTCTTCCACGTCTTCACGCACACCAAGGGCATCGTCTTGCAAATCACCTACTATATTACGGAGACGAACGGTGTATTGGATGATCAACCGAAGACGTTGAAGCTCTGGAGGATCCGGGAAACAGAGCTCAATGTGCTCACTGGAGGTTGAGACAAGGAGTCGAATAATGGGAAGTAGGTTACCATGACGAGCAAAAGTGGTTCGCATATGCTCGACCGAAGGGCTCTTCACATTTAAAGACGAGTCCAGTGCAATGATTGCAGAGGGCGATTTGTATGTCTCAGTAATCCCCTCACTGTGTGTAGATTGGATCCCCAAACTCAAGGGACCTTTCACCAGAGAAATCTCCAGATTAGTGCCAGACCCCATTTCCTCACGAGGTCGAGTATATATAAGACCTTTGCCAATTAGATATCGCTCAACCACTTTTTGGGTTTTCTCTCCCTGTACCATAATCACCAGATGGATATCCCGGTTACTTGCAACTTCCACAAGGTAGCCTAGGAATAAAAATTTTGCGCTGGAATATTCAGCCCAAGCTGCCTCCTTTCTTAGGTCTGAATCCGAATCCTTGATGTGCTCTGCGATATTGAGATCGGGATGTGTGGCAACGTTGCTTAGACTTCCTAATATCTCGCGCATTCTTGACACAAGGCGTTCTTCGTGTCCGTTGGACATCTCCGAAGAGCTGGGCTCTCTAAGAAAATCCCGAATACCCTGGGTTTCATCCATAAGGACTCGTTCGTAGTCATCTTTGACTCTGGAGTCCATTGGAAGTGGCACGGCGAATTCAGACGGACCGAGGTGTACTGATCCGGGAGGGACTACTTCGGTATGGGTGACCGTCAAGGCACTTGGTTGAATAGTTTGTATGCTTTGTTCTTGATGTGGCATTTCTTCAAGTGGTTCCGATGAAGTGGGGTTCATTTCTGGCTCAGTATGATGAACAGTGGGTTCCTTGTCAACTCTAACACTTAGAGGTGCGGTTGTTTCGGGGACGGATACAGGCGCCACGGGCTCGATATCTTCCACAGATGATGGAGTCACACTCACATCAATAGCCTGTAGAGAATTCGCTTTTGCACTCAACTGGGCGTATGCATTCCTCATTTTCTCCCTCGGAGTTGCTCCTTCATACTGACTATACTTCTCCATGGTTTCAGCCAACGACGGCACTTCCTTCTTTTGGTTATGGTTCTCCATGCTTCCAGTAGACATCATGGATACTTTATTACTTTGCCGTACAAACGACGGTCTCTGGCCCAGGAGTTGAATGGAAGAATTTATGGATCCCTGTGACGTACTCGGGTTTGATTCGGGTACAGTAGACCTCAATCGATCAGTTTTAACGTGGCCTTTGGAGGGATAGTTCCCAGATAGTAGTAGCTGTGATACCAAAGAGCTAAGCCCGGACTGACAGCCCTCTGATGAGGGGGTGTGTTGTGAATCGAAACGCCTTGCCAAGGGATACTGGAGTGATTTCTGGCTTTCTAAAGCGGCCAGCGTAGCAGATGGAGTTTCTGCGATTCCTTCCACTTTTTCACAGGCTGGTGTCCCAGATGGCTCTTGGAGGATGGACGATGCAATTGACTTTGGCTGTTGAGAACTTTGGGCAGCCTCGGGCGTCAATAGATTTCCAGATCTTGACACTTCACCCTCACTAGCAATAGTTGGAGTGCCTCTGGGGCTGTGTGTAGTCTGTGTTGCAAGATAACCTTGGACTTCAACAGGAAGCAAATACTCCAATGGAATAGTAGTACTCGGGGTATACTCAAACACACACGCAGCCTCAGACAGTGGAGCTGATGAGGGAATTGGTCCAGCTAAGTCACTATGGCGGAGTGTGGGGACTGCAGTAGGTGTTGTTTGCTTTGACTCTGGAACTTCAGACCATCGATTGGCCTCCAGAGATGGACGTGGCTCAGATACAGAACCAGAAAGAACAAATAATGGTGAGCTCTCACGTTGTTCCAAACGCTGATCAGAAGAGCCGATAGACTTTACACTATAACCTTGAGAGAATTGAGTTGCTAACTGTGTTTCTGAGATTTCAGTAAGATGAGTATCGGCCTGGGACTGGCGATGTCTCTTCTTCTCCTCCCAGACCTGAATTGCAGCGTCGTTGGCGTGTTCCTTTGGCTCCTGATTATTGTATGCTTGTTAGATGACATCCCCTTTCAGGGAGCCGCCTCTAACTATGTGGAGTGGCTTATGTAGACTGTGCTCAACTTACCCAACTAGGCGACCAAGGCCCTTCCCAATCAATAAGATACTGAGATTCTGTTTCGTCAAGGATACAGTCGATATACCATTCGTCCTCGGCTAAGGCAGAACTTTCGTTGTCGTTTTCTTCGTCACTTGATATGACGGGGTGCGTATTTTTGTACCTCTTTTTTCTATGTTTATCTGATGAATAAGAGGAGATCTTGCACTTGCGCCACATTATGCGCGTCCCGAGAGCATCGCCGAGGTGAAGCAATCCATGGTGGGCAGATGATGTAACAAGATGGCAGTAAAGATAGATATGAGTGGGGACTGTTTAGAAAAGTAAGCGCTTGTGGAAGTGAAACGTAATTTGCACAAAGCGCAACAATGAAGAAACCAGAGAAGTGAATGGGAGTATGAAATTCGGTCTGAACTCGGACGACGGGGGATAGCTGCACGGATGATCGCCGACACGTGATATCTTATCAGTGCCCAACTCCACTATGACGGATGTTCACTCTTTCCTCGGTGTGGAATGATCTACTAACTGTATCGCACAGATGCGTTCGATGTGACTCTTGAATTCGGCATCTATTTCTAGTGATGCCCTGGAAGCAGACTACGATGGCCTCGGTACCAAATTTCTGTCTACTAATGCAGTGCATATAAACCTATGTGTATCTAGCAATATCTAGTATCTAATGTAGTATCTATCTATACATCTATACTTCAATCAGAGATGTGCCTGCTCTTTTCTATATTTCTCGAAATCATAGCCCAGCTGCTCGATGCTTTTGAACTTGTGCCGCTCATCCCCCTTTCCAACGAACGTTCTCCTAATCTCAGGAAACAACTGTCGCATCCACCTCTCCCTCTCCCCCCAGTAGTTGCCCTGTTTACCATTTCCATTGTCGGTCAACCCTTGGCGCGGCTCAGCCCTGCCTGCCCATTCGTATAGTAGATTCATGTAGTCCGCATCCAATGGAAAATGTAGAAGGTGAAATGCCGTTCCATCCCCCTTTTTAATGACAGTGCCATCTTCCCAAGCCTTCATTTCGGCTGTATCTGGGAGAGTAAGTCGTCCAGACCAGACACGAGCGAAAACAGCAGCCTGGTTCTCAGACAATGGGAAAGGTATTACCCTCTGGGGGAGAACAGGAAAAGCGAGCGTGGGGTTGTGGATATAGAACAGATGTTGGTAGGTGTTCAACACCCTCCGTCCATCCGTAATAACAGGATGATCTAATGACGATAGAAAGGGGAAAGAGTATAGATAGCCAGTGCAAAACACGATTGCATCGACGTCATCCTCAATTTTACCGTCAGTGAAGCGAACTGCCCTATTGTATTCGGTTGGTGGTAAGAATTCCACAATTTCTGGGACGTAATCCTTGTCTGTGGCGTTGGACGGCATCAGATATGACTCTGTTCGCTGTGACGCGATCACTTTGCCCTTGCTCAATCTGTTTATTTGATTGCCAATATCGACTCCTGATGCAGAACCTCCCACAACGATCACCTTCTTCCCGCGGAAAGACTCGGGTGAGTCATACAACTTGGAGTGGGAGATAATGCCTGGGTAAGTCTCATTCCAGATTTTGATACCCGGTATATCTGGAGTGTATGGGACATCATAATGTCCACTAGCCACAACCACAGCGTCATATGTATCGGTCGTGTCGACTCCAGTTCGCAAATTCTTCGTTGTTACAGCCCAAGCATCTGCTCTATAACCACTAGATTTGACACTCACAACTTGAGTATCAAGATGAATATAATCTTTCACATTTTCTGCGTATTCGTCCAAATACTTCTTCACTGTAGAGTACTTCGGCAACACTTGGGCATCAGGGTGAAATGGCTTGTCCCCATAGGCCATTAACTCCTTTGGAATGTTGGTATCCAACGTACTATAAATGGGGGATATAAAAGCTGGCTCTAGCGGCCCCTGGATGCCTCCTGTATGATGCCATGTCGGTTCATCGCCAGGTTCATTCGGATCAAGTTGCGGTACAAGCGTCGATGTGCTCTGTTTGAGAGCTGGTGGAGTGTAATTCCATACCCCACCTACAGAACTTCTCTTCTCGAAAACATCAATCTTGGTGAAGTATTTCTCCGCAAGTAGATACCTGATGAATCGTGAGTGAGACAATTTCAAGATGAGCGTGGCGCTCTAGATTTGCTTCATACTTCACAGCTGAGAGACCCGATGGACCTGCACCGATAACAGCTACCCGGCGGATTTGCTTTGAGATTGTCATGCCGGGCGTCAAGTAACAGCAAGGAATTTGGCGTTAGGTTTCCAGTTCCTCGAAGTAGCTGAGTTGATGATCAGACAATTAGTTATCCGTTATGAAATTAAATCACCCCGCCGGGCAATGTCGTGATCTACTACTAGTACTCCGTACTAGTTACCACTTTAGGTTACTGTCTAGCATGGGGCTCGGATAACATCGCAAACCTTGGGATAAACCAGGGAACTAAGTATTTTTTTTTCTCAGCTAATTATAAACTTTATCGACTTGCTTGAAAAAAAACCAATAACGTACTAAGCTGTGTAACCATGTTCATGCGGTTACATGAAATACACAAAGTTCCTTCTTCTGGTTACCGAGGCCATGGGACAGACGCCTACGTAATTTTACAGCTCCGATACTGTTCCGCAAGCTCCAGATTGTTTGTCAGGTGAAGTCACCCGTACTTTGCTCTCGCCGCCTTTTGGAACACAAGCTATCGCTAAACAAAACCACCTCTTATCTTTACTGTGAATAATCACCTGCCAGTTTACATAGCAGGGGTTGCAGGGCAATGCAGTAGCCATCAGTGATGTTATACCAAAGGCTTAAATCCATTAGCAGCTGCAGTGATGGATGCTAACGAGCAATTTCCGATCTCTGAACCCTTGCATGCGAATCGCATCCCTATTGCGCAGCTTTCTCCAACACTTGAGAGCTTCTCCAAGAGTTCGATCCATGCATCCGTTACTCTTTTGTGGCCTTATTCATCATCGACAACATCCCTCAGCCTCTTGTTAGCAGAGCCCGACTTTCGCTTGCGTCACTCAAATGGACAAGTAAAGACAGTTTTCCACGGGCATATCGCAGAAAGTGTGGCTAAATCTCAAATCGGAATCGGCGATTCTGTTTATTTAAGTCTGGATGGAGCGAGGTTGTCGGATAATGTGACAGCGCCTGGAACCCCTGGCAAAAGCGTGGCATGGGATATACACTTCGATGACCGTGTATTTCTCGAGGTACTGCGACTGAAAGTCCCCAAGAAAATGTGAGAATCTCACTGAACAAGTGTACAGATTTGGCGCTCATCGAATCATTTGTCAACTGTGAAAGTCCCTCCTACCCCCTCACCGAACAATGATACTGCAAATGCGCCACCGGCTACACCCATTGCCAAGGGTTACGATCGCTCTGACCAAAACTTCTCGATTGATGTGCTGGGTTCATGGCAGTCTCCGGCTTTTCTAGGACGATCGCGCACATCTTTAGGGGGTCTGGCTGATTCAGTGCTGGACCCATTCGCCGAGGAGGATGGGTTTGTTCCCGGGAAAGGAAGAAAACGCCCTAGGTTCAGCATGCGCAACAGCGAGTGGCGAGTAATCGATGAGCCCGAAAGCCCGGGTGAAAAGGGCGACGTCCCGGACTGGACACATATTTTCGATGAAGATTGGGAAAGCGAATCAGAGCATGGCCCCGAGGACGCTGCCGAAAAAGAGGAGAGGCCATCGGATGCCACTAAAATAATAAAAAACCCTGAAACAGACTCGGAGGGGGTGTCTCTTACTATTCCAGCCTCGGAGGCTGATGTTGCCATGGAAGACGTTTCGCTGGCATCTTCTAGGACAAGTCCGGAACGACATATCGCTCAGACCGCAGACGGGATAAGGCTTCCTCCACCTGGTGTTTCTGGAATAGCCGAGTTCTCGCGCAAGAGGGGTGTTCTAAATTACTCGGCCCATCTTCCGATAGAAACTCCTCGTCTACACCCTATCCCCTCTCCCGGACTCCCCATTCCTTCGCCGCTCGTTACTATGTCAAACAGTCCACAGGGCTATTTCACACCAGTCACAGCCACGGCGCATTCTCACACCAGCCAGATACCTACAACCTTATCTCAAGAGGTGATAGATTCAGACAATGAAATACCTGGTGCGCAGCCGGATATTTCGCAGGCAGCAAGATGTAAAGAGACACTCATTACTTCAGGAACAGGAGATCGCGCAATTGGCATTTCTGAATCCAGAGCCGAGTCAAATGCTACGAAGATTACCCTGGAAGCTACAAGCCAGCCACATACGATGGCCAATACTGGGTCAGAAGAGCTATCACCTGGCGAAGACTCGAAAGTAGCAGCTGAAACTGTCAAAGCCGACCAATTTACCCCGCGCATATCTGGGAAGGATACAGTGAGACTTGGTGGACATCTAGGAGACACTGACCAATCGAGAAGCTCGAAGAGAGAAGGAAAAGAGGTTGGGGTCGACGAAGCATGCATTGACGCTCAGGTGGAAGCTAAAGCTGAAAAAGACAAAGAAGAAACGCATCAGGGGGAAGAAGTGGTCATCGAGGACAAGCTTGAATATGATGGCCAACAAATAACACATACCAATAGAAGTCTTATTTCTGGGGACACTCGGGTAAGCGGTGTAGCCAGGGTGGTTGAATATGGTCCTGATAGAAGCGGAGAAGAGGATACAGAGACACCGGAGAGATTGAGGAGCTATCATGACTTGGTTACTGAAAGCGAGACCAAAATCCCAGAAATGGATCGTGGGGATCACACAGAAGCTGTTCATGAAGGAGAGGACGAATGGGAAGGGAAGGAAAGTGATGATGAATCTGAAGAAGAGCTTGGAGAGGAAGACGAATCGGAGGAAGAACAAGCTCAAGATTTTAAAGAGATAGACAAGGAAGAATATGCAGACAACGAGGAAATAGAAAGGGACGACTTGGAAGCTGGATGGGATGAAGAGGGATGGTACGAAGAAGAGTTAGAAGAAGAAGAAGAAGAGGAGGAGGAGGAGGAGGAGGAGGAGGAGGAGGACGAAGAAGCCGAGGATATGCACGAGGATGAATACGAGGATGGTGCTGAATCTGAGATCGTATCAGACCAAATGAGTGTTGATACACCCACCCAGCCGCCTGCCACCAAGAAAATGCACCCAGAAGTCATCGTACTAGACAGTGACAGCGAAGATGAAGTTGCGTCCGCTTCTCAGGCTTACCCAATAACCTCGTCAAGAAAAGATGCTAGTGCACAGGAGATTGAGTCATCCGAACCTGAAGCATCTGCTTCCGAAGAGGGTTCCCTAAGGTCCAGACGTTCGGACAACTCAGAAAGTTCAGAGGATGAAGAGGGCGAAGATTGGTCTGACGGAAATTCGGAAAGTGAGCAGCTGATGGATAAGAATGAAGAAGAGATGGCGGAGGATGAACGTGAGCAAGCGAATGGTGAACAGCAAGGAGCTGGGCATGCTATATACGAGCTATCTGACAACGGAAGGATGAGGAACGAGAAGGTGGATGAGGACTCGGTTGATGTACGTGGGGAATACCAAGCGGAAAACGAAGCAATGGAAGAACAACCCGAGCTCAAAAGGGGGCGGGTGTCAGTATCACAGCCCATGGATATTGGGGACGCGGGCCCCGATACTGATGAGCAACCATCGCCTCAGTATCATCAAGAGGAATATACGATCAAGGCACCATCTCATGCTTCCGACTCGGGGAATCTTGATCACCACCCATTTGTCATGTCACTCGTTCAAGAATCCCATTCCGAGTCCAGAAATGCTTTACACGAGCTGGAAACAGTGATCGACCCTGAGTTGCAAACCGCTGGGCTTGGTAAAGAACAAGTAAAGAAAGAGCCGAAAGAAGAGCGTCGTTCACATTCTATTCATGCTGAACCTAGGGCTGGGGCTTTCGAAAAGATATCTGAGGCCGCCCGAAATCTTGCCCCAAGCTCGTTTCTTGACGGTACTTCATCTTCACATGTATTGCACGATTCCCATGAGGCAGTTTCAGAGAGGCCTCCGCAATTGCAGCATTTGATATCAATGGATACTCAACTGGCAGAACTTGGTCCACCTTCTATGGATTTCATCGCAACTGGGATACTTCCTACGTCTGAACACACACAAGGAAGAATGACAGCGCAATTCCAAGGCCAAATGCCAACTGCCATTCAAACTATTACATCTGCGCCAGCGGAACGACATGTTAATCTCGCGGAAGATGTTGAGCACGAAGCACGCCTCGTCCCTACCCCTCAGGAGGGACAGGATGAACTCGAAGAATTTTCCGGGAATGGAAATGTGGGAACACGAGCATCTTTCATTGGAGACCATGCCCAAGATGAGCTTTACTCGGATGATGAATCCGTTGGGGATCTAGATGAGGTCCACCTCATTGGAGTAGACCGTCATTATCCCGGCCTGCACAGCAAGCTTTCCTATTTTGCTCCGTTAGCCACCCTTGTCGACCACTATAATGCATTGGTAGATACCATCTCCGTTGTGTCGGAAGCCCAGCCCGTGTTCCGGGCTGCATCAGGAAAGAAGGATTTTATCTTAACCCTTCAACTTACTGATCAATCTATGGCTGGAACCACGCTCTATGCCCAAATACTCCGGCCTTCCAAAGTAGCACTTCCCTTAGTGGAAGAGGGGAATGCTGTCTTGTTACGCAACTTCAGAGTCAAGAAATTCAATGGCTCGATAATGCTTGCCAGCGTTGATACCAGTGCTTGGGCTGTTTTCAAGGGCTTAGATGATAAAGCACTGACTCATGATCCTTCAGTTGAATACGGGAGCGAAGAGCAGGCCTGCGCCACTAATCTGCGCCAATGGTACCAAGAAACTGGTATGGCCATGGTGGCAGATAACCAACTACAAGCCTCTATAAACAGGGAAAGTAGAGAAGGGACACCCACTAGCAGCGCTGCACTTAGCGATTCAGGGAGCATCGATTCGACACTGCGCGACATGCGCGGTGAATCATCTTTCTCGAGTCGGGGTTCACGGCGGGGCAAAAGGTCCCATCGGAGAATAACAATTCATGAGTTAAGGGATGGAAGGAGATACACTGAGGTTGGCTCACCGTCTGGAAAAGAGAGTATACATGAACTGCGAGACGGAACAGTCTATGCCAATTTGTGAGGGAAACTTGTGTACCGTATTGGATCCATCTTTCACACTCGACCGGTTCTTGACTCTTATTTTTGATTTTTGTATATAAGCCTTCAT